TAAGATTTGAACCTGGTTCTAATCGCTCAGCTCGATGACTGTCTCATCAAGCCCTTAGGGCGACCCTCTAGTTCTTTATCGGAAGCGGCACTTGAAGGGGATGCCAGTATTTAGTGCAGGCATAACCAGGAATGGAACCGGGTACTTCTAGATATTCAGGTCGTCCAATGTTGTGTCGTTGGTCACGGATCTGCGGCTCCCTCCGGTCACGCCATCAGACCCGATTTAGTCCTTCACGCGACCACAAAGCTTCGGGGTGAATGTGTGGATGCGGGTTTCCCCGTCTGTTACGGACTCGTTGTATATTTAGCCATTTGGCCGGTGGTATGGTCAGTGTATGGTTCTTTAACTCGTATCCTAGGACTTTACTGTTGCAGTGTAGTTGTGACTTATCTTCGTTAATCTTAAAACCGTGCTTAGTCAGGTACTTCTTCGTCGTTTCGAAGCGTCGCTTCAAGTCTCTCTCGTCGTCAGCCGCAATAAAGATGTCATCTTGGTAGAACCTCACGTGTTCTGCGTAGCGTAACTTCTTCAGTATCGTACCCATGGTTAGATGAAAGTGCTTAGGCGCATTAGTAGCTCCCATGGGCATACACTTATATGCGTAGAACTTGTCGCGGTGCTGGAAGGCGTACGTGCCTATCTGGTCGGTCGGCAGTGGTATCGTATGGAATGCTTTTGATAGATCTATCTTGGCTAACCGTGGCTGTTGCGCGCCCCAGGTTATAATGGGCCAGCAGCTCTGTATGTTTGGAAATCGGCCCGCGTCGTCGATGTACGGTAGCAAAGGCCGGCAGTCGTGCGTTATTCGGTCCTTCACCACTCTCGTCGGTAGCGTGAATCGCGGCGGTAGGTAGTACAGTTAGCTTGTCTTGCTGCAGTAGTGGCTTCAGCCAACGGTCGATGGTGCGTAGTTCGTGGTACTTGACGGGTAATCGGCCATGGTAAGTTGGTAAAGTATCGCGGTTCACTCTTTCAGTGAATGTCATTTCAGGGAAGTGCCACGTGCCGGGGGTGACTTTCCCGTTTGTTAGGGCCTCGATCTCCAGCACGACAATACACCAGCTGCCGACCGTGAACATACGGTAGAGCGCTCGCTTAGCACGCGAGAGGCACTG